CGCGCGCGCGCGTTCTGGAAAAAGCATCCACGCTTCGAGACCGTTCCGAGAGATGATCGCTCGTCCAAAAATCAGCCGAAACGAGTGGAAACCGGCCGAGCTAGGAGCCTTTGAAGTTGGGAATTTCGCACTCTTGTCCTGCCCAGGCGCCAGCGCCACCGGCCCCGGGCGACCTCAAGCCCGGGTCGCCCCTCGCGGCGTCCGGCGCCTACAGCGGCGGGTCCCTCTGGGGCGCCGGCCCCGCGAAGCCCAAAAAGGCCGCGGCGCCGCGGCCCGCGGACACCGGCGGCTACGACTCCGCGGACGAGGACGACGACGCGGACATGTACAGCGACGCGCCGAAGAAGCAGGCCGGGGGCGCGCCCCAACCCGACGCCGACGGCGACGTCTTCTTCGACGCGCCCGCGCGGAGCTCGCGCCTCGCCGCGGCCTACGACGGTCTGGCGGTGTCCAAAAAGCCCGCGGCCGCGCCCGCGCCCGCGCCCGCGGCGTCGCCCTACGCCGCCTACGGCGGCAGCCAGCGCCTGGGCCTCGGCGGGTCGCGGCCCAAGCCCGCGGCCGAGAAGCCCGCGGCCGAGAAGCCCGCGGCCGCGCCCGCGGCCGCGGCGACGGCCGTCGGCAAATTCGGCGCGAAGAAGGGCTTCGGCTCCGACGCGTTCTTCGACGACGACGGCGGCGCGCCGCCGCCGCCGCCGCCGCGCCACCCGTCGGCGTCGTCGCGCTTCGCCGGCGCCGGCGGCTTCGGCTCCGACTCGTTCTTCGACGACGACGCCGGCGGCGACGGCCGCGGCGCGGGCTCCCTGGCGGACACGATCCAGGGCGCCTTCTCCTCGACCATCGAGCGCTTCGGCCACTAGCCAGGGGGCGCCGCCGGCGGCTAGAAACACGAGACTATACATCACGCGAAAAAAAGGTCGGGGACGGGAACGGAGTCGGACGAAGTAGCGGACGTCGCGGCGGGGCCCCAGAAGATGGGTGCGGCGGGCGTGTGCAAGGGAGGATTTCGCGCTGCAGGGCGGGCCCTCGCGCTCGAGAGTGCGGCCGGGGCGCCGCTCAGGGCGGCGGCCTCCGGAGGTCGTCGTCGAGCGCGAGGACGCCGAAGCTCTCGAGGCACGGGGGCCGCTCCGGCCGGGCGTCGGGCGTCACCGTCGCGGCGTCGGCGAGGGGGCGTTTGTCGATGGGCGTGCGCGCGCCGTCGAGCTCCTCGTCGTCGTCCGAGGCGCACGCGCGCTCGTCGGCGGCGTGGGGCGCGGGCTCCGACACCTCCGACACCGCGGCCGCGAGGAGGCGCCGCAGGCGCTGGACCTCGGGCGCCGGGAGCAGGGCGACGCGCGGGGCGCAGAAACGCTTCCGTGCCGGCGCCGGCGGCGGGCTGGCGCCCCGCCGCCGGGTGCGGTTGCCGAGGCAGGACAGGGGCGACCGCGGGGCTGCCCCGAGGGAGGCGGCCATGGCTTCGTGCGTTGCGGGCGCGCGGGCGGCGGCGGGACGGGGGCCGAGGGCGGCGGGCTCTTTCCGAGTTTGGCGGGCGCGGTGGCGGGCGCTGCCAACTCTTCGGGGTTCTGGCCGTTCTGCGTAGAGCTTCACCGAGGACTGCCCACTTTGGCTGATGCTCTCAGACGTCGAACTTCACATATAATGCAACGGACACGTGCAATGTTTCGGACAGGTCGTTGCTGCCTTCAGGCAACCGGGGCGAGCGGGTAAGCGAGCGGCTAGCTTAGATCCGAGAGCTGGGCCCAGGCGTGGGCGACGACGCGCCGCAGGGCCGTGCCGAGGAGCCCCGTCCCCGGCGGGTCGCTCACGTCGTAGCGGAGCACGAGGACGCGGCGACGCGCGCGGCTCCCGTTGGCGCCGCCGCGGTGGAGGAGCCGCGCGTCGAACACCAGCGCGTCGCCCGTTTCCACGGGCCCGCACGCGAGCGCCCGCGTCGTCGGGAACGCGGCCCAGGACGCGTGGGACCGAGGCAGCACCTCCGTCGGGCCCATGTCGCATCGGATCGCCTCGAGCGGCAGCATGAACGTCAGGCCGCGCGCGGCGTTGTCGCTGTGCCAGATCTGGGCCGCGGACCCGGGCAGCGAGTCGAGGAACTGGACCTGCGTCAGCTTCACGCGGCGCGTCTCGCAGTAGGCCTCGGCCATGTCGCGGAGCGGGCCCGCGAGCGCTTCGATGCTCCGCCGCAGGTCCGCGTCGTCTCGGTGCCGCGAGTGCACGAGGTCGTAGTGGAGCCGGCCCTTGGAGACCTCCACGGCCTTCTGCCGTCGCCGACGGCTGTCGAGGGTCGATGCGAGCCGCGCGCAGTCGACGCCGGGCACCGTGGCGAAGCCGTCGGCCCGCAGGCGCGCGAGGCCCTCGTCGCGCGTCGCGCAGCGGTTCGCCTCGAAGCGAGCGTCCGGCGACGGGGCTGTTGTTGGCGTGTGCAGCAATACGTAGGCCGCCGAGGCCGCCGGCGCGCCGGTGGCAAAAAGCAATCCCCGTCCCAGCATCGATGACTCGACCGAAAAAAAGGCACCTCAAATAAAACTTCAATCGTGATGTGAAGTCGGAGCGCAGCACTTGGAACCTCCAAAAGCGCCCGGCCCCTTACTCGGCGGCGAGGGCGGCGGCGAGCTTGGACTTGGGGTCCTGGGCCAACACCGCGACGGTGCCCGTCTCGACGACGGCGCCGCCCGCCAGCACGGACGCGAAGTCGCACTTGGCCACCGCGGCCTTCGAGTGGGCGACGAGGAGCACGGTCACGCCGCGCGCCTTCGCCAGACCGAGGACGTTGTCGAGGACTGCGGCCTCGGTCTTGGCGTCGAGCGCGGCCGTGGGCTCGTCGAGGAGCCAGAACGTCGCGGCGTCGCGCGCGAGCGCGCGCGCGACCGACAGCCGGCTCCGCTGGCCGCCGCTGAGGCGGTCGCCCGTGGCGCCGATCTCCGCGAGGAAGGCCCCGTCGAGCTCGCGGATGAAGCCGCCGGCGACCGCGGCCTCCGCCGCGGCCTCGACGTTCGCGTCGACGACGGGCTCCCCGCCGTACGTGACCGCGTCGACGACGCGCGACCCGGACGACAGCAGGAGCGACGCCTAAGAACAACGGGTGAACAAGGGGCGCGCGCGGCGCCGGCGGGGAGCGAAGGGGCGACGGTCGCGGCGGTCGGTACAGATCTTGGTGTTGTCTTTAGGATACTCGTCAGATTGGTTTTGTAGGAATGGAGTGATTTTGTGTCGTTCGTCACCCCGCGCGCGGATCGAATTAAAAAAGAGGAGACGGACGCCGCGTTGAGACCTGCTCGACGACGGCCGCGCGCGCCTTCCGGAGGCCCGCGAGGTCTCCGGGCGCCATTTTCGCGACGTCCGCGCCGTCGACGCGGACGACCCCCGCGTCCGCGTCGTAGAGGCGCAGCAGCAGCCGCAGGATCGACGACTTGCCCGCGCCCGAGGCGCCGACGAGCGCGTGCGACGTCCCGCGGGCCACGCGGAGCGAGCAGTTTTTGAGCACCGGCGGCGCGGTCGGCGCGTACCCAAAGGTCACGTCGTCGAGCACGAGGTGGTCCGGCGTAACACCAGCGCCCCCCGCGTCCGCCGCGCCGTCCAACAGCGCCGCCGACGCCGCGTCGACGTCCGCGAGCGCGAGCACCCGGAGGCACGCCTTCGCGGCTCGTTTCCCCGCCTTCAGCTCCGACGCCGCGAACTTCGCCAGACCCGCGAGCCCCAGCGACGCGTAGCCCGCGTACAAGGCGAAGGCCAGCAGGTCGCCGCCGGAGAGGTCGCCGCGCTCCACGCGGTGGCCCCCGCGAAAGACGACGCCGAGGACGGTAAGTTTGCCGACGACGTCGAGGACGCCCTGGAGCGCTCCCCGCGCGACGCCGTGGGCGACGCCGGCGTGTAGCGCCGCGTCGGCGAGCTCCGCGAAGCGCGCCGCCTCGACGGCGTCGCCGCCCGCGAGCTTGACCGAGTGCGCGCGGTCGCTCCGGGCCAGGTCGCGCGCTTTGACGGCGAGCGCCTTCTCCGCGTGTTCCGCGCCGGCGCCGCGCTTCGCGACGGACTTGGACGCGCCGCGCACGAGGACCGCCAGCACGGGCACGCAGGTCAGGAGCTCGCCCGCGAGGCCGGGGCAGAGGGCGAAGAGCTGCGATCCGCCGTTGAAGAGACTCGACGCGTAGCGGAACGCGTTCTGCAGCTGCTCCGTGCACACCGCGAGCGCCACGGAGGCGTCGCGCTCGACGGCCGTCGCGACGGCGTCGGCGTCGAGGCGGTCGTCGCCGGATTGTTCTCCGAGCACGAAGAACGCGGCCTTTCGCCGGAGGGCCGCGTCGAAGACGTCCGCGCGCAAACGCCGGAGCGCTTTCTGCAGCGCGCGCGAGAAGCAGGACACGCGCACGCCGCTGGCCAGGGCGCCGACGGCGAAGACGCACGCCGTGCGCCGCAGCTCCACGCGGAGGCCCGCGCCCCCGTCTTTTGACCTTTTGGCGTAGGCGTCGACGACGCGGCCCATGGCCTTGGGCGCGAAGGCGTTGGAGAAGGCGCTCACGCACAGCGACGCGCCGCCGACGGCGAGGCACCCCCACTCGGGCGCCACGTAGCGGCCGAAGACGCCGGGCGCCATGGCGGGGATCGGGCAACCTCGTGGCCTGCTGGCCACTGAAGAATTGGCGATCGTCTTGGCTCGCTGCTTCATCGGCTCGTTTCACCCTCGAGGCTGCCCAAGTTGACGCTCGAGGCTGCCCAGAATTGCGAGAAGCCATGGCCGGGCATTCCGTACGCCGCGAATCCAACGCTTACGGACCAGCATGGCCGAATATGGCGCCGCGGCGCGCGGGCCGCTGGCCGGCGCGAGCTTCGACCCCCGCGGGTGCGACGCCAACTATACACTACAACTATTAACAACAAAACACCACAACACCTTCGACGAGCCCGCGTTCCTGTCGCTCCAGTCGCGGCGGGTCCTCTGGCGGTCCCACGTCCTGGCCTGGCTGCTCCAGCACGAGGTCGTCGGGACGAACCACGAGGACGCGCGCCGCGCCGCGGCGGCGCTGTGCAAGGCGTGCCCGGATTTCGGATCGCTCGTGCGGGCGCGCGACACGGGCGCGCTCGCGCGGGTCTTCGACCGCGGCACGCGCGACGCCGTCGACGCGGCGCTGCGCGCGGACCGCGCCGAGGCCGCGGCGCCCGCGGCCGCGGAGGCCGAGCTGCGGCGGCGGAAAGGTAGGGCACTCACCGTCGTCGTCTACGAGGGCTCGCGCGCCGTCGCGGCGGCGCGCGCCGACGACGCCGACGCCCTCGCCGACGCGCTCTTCCGGAAGCAGGCGCCGCTCGAGCGCGGCGGCTCCTGCGTGACCGACGACTCGTCCGGCTCCGACGACGAGGGGGGGCGAACCTCGACGTCGTCCGTCGGCTCCGCGGCGCCGCCGCCGCCGAGCGCGGCGCCGCGCGCGTCGCCGAAGCACTTCCTCCTCTTCCCGAGCGCACCGGCGCCGCCGGCGCCGCCGGAGCGGCTCCCGCCCATCGCGCAGCGCCACTCCGCGCCGCCGGGGCGGGCGACGCTCGCGGTTCTCCGGCGCCCGCTGTCCGCGACCTTTGGCCCCGTCGCGGGCCCGCCGCCGGCCCTCGGCCGGCGGGCGGCGTCCGCGCCCCCGGCCGGCCGCCGCGCCGACGACGCGCTCCACGCGTCCTGGTGACTGGGAGATCTCGACCAGCTCGGTCCGGCGCGTCGCGTCTCGCCTTCTCGCCTTCTCGCATCGCCCGGTCCGCGGCCCTCACGGTCGCGTCCCCCGCCTGTGCCCCGCCCCCTGTGTTTACTCGCCTACGGGTGACCTGGGCCATGGCGAGAGGCGGCCGCTCGCCAGGCTCGGAGGGCCCGCGGCGAGGGTGTCTATGACCGCCGGCTAAAATTACCGAGAATATACAATTGTACTCAGGACGGTAATGCACGTGGTAATGCATAGGTAATTACTAGTAATTACCGCTGCTCCAAATCAGTTACCGAGGATTACGACACCATGGGACTACTCATGTCCATTGATTTTCGTTGCATATAAGCTGGACACCACTCGATTTCACAGAATAGTCGCAAGTTTTGGCTCTATCGACCAGTTTTGATCCATCAGAGGTCACTGCATGACTCGCGTATGCTCAAATGAGTGGTTTGGGGGCGACGAAGCTGATGCCGCGGCCAGCGCCAAGGTCGGCCTGCCCAACCTTGAGTAATTACCAATGAAATTCCCATTTCAAAGGAATTACTGGTAATTACTGCCCTGTATTCTTAGTTACCGAGGAATCCGGCGCCCATACGGACACCCTCGACCATCCGTTTGAAACGGACAACGAAAGACTTCGTATCTCGAAAAGGCAATGAAAATGGCAAGGTTTTTGGGTGGTCGTCCTATCTCCCACATCGGGCTCCCCATCGGCGTTTAAGCATGGAGTTCCTCGACGATGGGGGCAGCGACCTCGAGTCGCGCGGCGCCGCGTCCCCCGACTTCCGCGGCGACCCGCGCCGACCGCCCCCCCCCCTTCGCAGGCTCGACGAGGCCTGGTTCGAGAAGGAGATGGAGGAGCTCTTCGAGCCGCCCGGCGCGGAGGACGAGGCGCCCGCCGACGAGCTCGAGCTCTGCTTGCGGTCCCTGGAGCGCACGGAGGCGCTGTCCATGCCCCTCTGCTTCAAGATCCTCAAGCTCATCGAGGCCGGCGAGCCGCGGGTCCTGGACCGCCTGCCGGTGCGCGCGACGGCGAGCCCGTTCCTGCCCGCGCGGGGCAGCACGTACGTCGTGAGCCGGCGCGGCGGCGGCGAGGGCGAGTCCTGGAAGGCCGGCGGCGAGCCCGGCGCCATCCCCGTGGCCTTCCAGTCCGTGCACAACTCGGAGCTCTGGTGGTCCCCGGACCCGGCCGACGGCGGTTTAGGAGTGGCGTCGCGGCCGATGGGGCGGTCCGCGCGCGACGGCAAGCGCGCGGGCGCGGGCTGGGCCGGCGGCGCGCCGCGCCAGTCCCGCACCCACGGCTTCCGCGGGCGGCTCTTCACCCTCGTGTCCCGCGAGGGCGGCGCGGACGCCGCACCGGACGCCGCGGCACCGGCGCCGGCGGACGGCCGCCGGGCCAAGCGGCCGCGGCGCGCGGCGGGCCGGGGCGGCGCGCCGCGGCCCAAGCTCAACGCCGTGCCCTACGTGGGCTTCGTCCAGGTCTGGCGCGACGGGCGGCCCCCGCGACGGGCCGCGCACGCGCACTCGCCCGCGCCGTCCGACGCCGCGCACTCGGAGCGGACGCCGTCGGAGGCCGAGGAGACGGCGGCGTCCCAGTCGTCGAGCGACCGCACGCTCGACGGCACGCTGCGGGTCACGGGGGACGTCGTCGTCGACGGCCGCGTCTTCGGCCAGATGGTCACGCCGCCGCCAGGGCAGGAAAAGAGAGCGAAATTCCCAACTTCAAAGGCTCCTATCTCGGCCGTTTTCCACTCGTTTCGGCTGATTTTTGGACGAGCGATCATCTCTTGGAACGGCTTCGAAGCGTGGATGCTTTTCTCGGAACGCGCGCGCGCGGAACACTCACGTTGAAGCGACGTTGAATCTCTCTTTTCCTGCCCAGGCCCCCCTTGGCGGCGGACTACGCGGAGTGGTTCCGCTTGGACGACGGCGCCTACGTCTCGGCGGCGGACGCCAAGGTCGCGCCGGACGACAAGGAGCCGGACGACCCGGAGGCGGGGCTGCTGGCGCCGCCGCCCCGCGGGAGCGTCGTCCAGCTCGTGTCGCCCGCGCAGCGCCTGACCCTCCGCACCGACGGCGCGGGCCCTTTATTGATCACTTCGACAACTCCCTCCATCGCCGCGGGCGTGCCGACGGACCCGGCGGACGCGGCGCGGGGCGCGCTCGTGGCCTTCGTGGGCCAGGTGCCCGTGCGCTGCCGCGGGGAGGTGCGCTGCGGCGACAATTTGGCGCCGTCGGGCGGCCACGACGGCGTCGCGGTGTCCGCGGAGCTCGCCGGCGCGCCCCCGGACGACGCGCTGGGCATGGCGCTGGAGGCCTGCGCCGACGACGGCGACGAGCATACCATATTGTGCTTCGTGCGCTGGAACCGCGCGGTGCGCCGCGAGATGCGCGAGGCGTCGCGCGAGGGCGCCGCGCGGGGCCTGCGGTCGCTGGGCGTGGCCGTGCTCGTGGACGCCGTGGGCCTCGTGGCGCTGGTCTGCGCCGTCTTGGGGCTCGCCCACGCGCTGCTCGCGCTCTGCCTGCTGGGCGGCGCGGACCGCTTCGGCGCGCGGCGCGACGCCGTCGGCGCGTGGGTGCCGGGGTTGGGCCTCCTGGGCCTCGTGCTGGTCTTGGCGGTCGTGGGCATCTTCCGGGGCCAGGTGCCCGGCGGCGATCTGGTCTACGCCGCCTGGGGCGTCGCGGCGCTGGGCGCGGCCGCGTCGCTGGGCGTGCTGCGGTCGGCCGCGGGCGCGTCGCGGCCCGCGCAGCTCGGCCTCGAGGTGGCCTGGGCCTGCTTCGGCGTGCTGTACCACGGCGCCGTCGTGCGCCTCGCCCACAAAACGAAGCGGTCGCCCCTGCTCCGCGGCGCCTGGGCCCCCCTGCTCAACGCGGCCAAGGTCAACACGGACAGCGCGCAGGCGCGCCTCGCGTTCGGCGCCGCGGTCCTCCTCCTCCTCCTCGGCATCGTGCTGCTCTAAGAGTACCATCAGGCTTTTAACAGAAGCGGGCGAGGTCCGGCGGGGTCGCGTTCTTGTCGCGGCAGGCGAGGAAGGGCGGGTTCGTTCCGGCGTTGCGCGCGGTACGGGCCGCGACGAGGGCCGCGCGCGACAGCGACGCCGGGCCGCCGCCGAAGACCGCGGCGCCGGCCGCGGCGTCGCCCCGGACGTAGTAGGCGAGGAACGCCGCGATCCACTCGCCCTCGGGGTGGGTCGTCACGGGGCTCCGGTAGCCCATGTGCGTCGCGCGCGCGACGTCGAGGAACACCTTGTCGCCTCTGACGTCGACGAAGTCGTCCCAGGCGGACCCGACGGGCTCCGCGAGGTCCCAGGCGCCCGTGACGAGCATGGCCGGCGTCCTCGAGATGGCGCCGGCCCTCCAGGCCGTGACGTTCGGGTCCCGCGCCGGGTCGCGCATGGGGTCGGGATGGTCGCCGACGACGGCCCTCACGTTCGCGAGGGCCGCGCGTAATTCCGGCGGCGCGGCGTAGGCGCCCGGGTCGTCCCGCGCCGCCGCGACCATGAGCGCCGCGCGCGCGCCCGTGCTGTGGCCGCTCGCCGAGAAGCCGCGCCCCGCGTCGACGCGCGCGTCGTCGGCCAGGTGCGCCAGCGTCTTGAGGATCTCGAGCCACGACGTCTCGCCGTTGTCGCACTCCGCGTCGAAAGAACATGACGCGTAGGCCGCGACGACGAAGCCGGCGGCCGCGATCTGCTCCGCCAGCGCGTCGTAGGCTCCGAGCAGCGCGCCGCCGCCGCCGTCGCCGTGGGCGAGCACGTGGAGCGGGAGCGGGCCGGTCGCGTTGCGCGGCGCGCAGACCCGGGCCGCGCGGTACCGGCCGAGCCTCGCGACGAGCCCCGGGATGGCCACGTCCTCGCAGGCGACGCCGTCGGACGCGCGGACGTCGCCCCCGGGGCACGCGCTCTCGAGGTCCGGCGCGTAGGCGCTGTCCTCCTTGGCCGCGTCGTCGTAGCAGTAGTTGTGGCGCAGGCAGTAGGGCGTGCACAGCGCGTAGCATTGCTCGTGCTCGTCGTCCCAGTCGTCGCCTACGATGCATGGATGTGATGGTTCGTCCCAGCCGCGATTTCTCGAACATCGGCCGAAGGACGCTGGTCGTCGCAAAAGTCGGCCCAGGAGACGCACTCGGACTCGCTGCACTCGAGCGCGCGCGCGGCGCCCAGGGCGCCGAGGAGGACGATGGGCAGCTTTATCGGAATCGGCTCATCAAACTCTCTCTCTCCTCTGCCGCCGGGGATCCGAGGAACCACAGAGAACCGGATTACATCGGACCGGGGCCGAGGGGGCCGCGGGGCCCAGCCGGGCGCGACCGTCGTGGTCGGCCGGGTGGGCCCTCGCGGGCGCCTGCGACCCCGGGCCGGGGGGGGGAGGCGGCGGGCTTCGCGGCGCGCTAGGAGGGCGCGTCCGCGTCGCCGTCGAAGGCGAGGAGCGCGACGACGGCCGCGGCGACGAGGAGCACGGCGCCGAAGAGCGCGAGCGCGAAGAGCGCGAAGGCGTAGCGGTTGCGGCGGCCGTCGCGCGACGTGCACCTGGGCAGGACAAGAGTGCGAAATTCCCAACTTCAAAGGCTCCTATCTCGGTCGTTTTCCGCTCGTTTCGGCTAATTTTTGGACGAGCGATCATCTCTCGGAGCGCTCTCGACGCGTGGATGTTTTTTCCGGAACGCGCGCGCGCGGAACACTCACGTTGAAGCGAACTTGAATCACTCTTGTCCTGCCCTGACGTGCACGTGAGCGCCGCGGACGTCGTCCGCGCGCCGAAGAGCGCGAGCGCGTGGCGCGCGACGCGCGCGACGTCGTCGCGCTGGGACCCGCGGGACGCGGACTCGGAGAAGGCGACGCCGCCGACGTCCCAGGCGACGCGCACGGTCTCCCGGGGCTGGAGCCGCGGCCTCAGCGTGTGCGCGATGGAACTCGCGCGCGCGGCGCGCACGGAGACGGCCGCGGCGACGCAGTCGCCCTTGGCGTCGACGAGGCCCGAGACGTGGACGACGGGCTCGTCGTCGCTCCGCCGGCGGCCGCGGTTCGACAGCGTGAGGTGCCGCGTGGCCAGGATCGCCGCCCAGTCCGCTATACCCAGATTCGCCGCGACCCACGCCTGCACGTCCGCGCCGACCCAGTGCGCCGCCGGCGTGGGCCCGTCGACGCCGTAGGCCCAGGCGTAGGTCACGGGCGCCGCGGACCGGTGCGCGCGCGCGCGCCCGGCGCCCTCGTCCTCGGCCTCGGCCTCGTCCTCGGCCTCGGCCTCGTCCTCGGCCTCGTCCTCGGCCTCGTCCTCGTCCTCGGCCTCGTCCCCGGCCTCGTCCTCGTCCCCGGCCTCGTCCTCGTCCTCGGCCTCGCCGTCGTCCCAGGGGTCGAACGCGCCCGGGTAGTCCGTCGGCCGCGGCGACGGGCTCCGCGTCGGGTCCGGCGCGACGGCGACGACGTCGTCGCCGTCGAAGCCAAAGTCCCAGACGGTGGCGCCCCAGGCGGCCTCCCAGGCCGCCGCGTCGTCGACGAGCGGCGCGATCATGAGCGCGTGGATCGCGCCGCCGCTCTCGTCGCCGAGCGCGGCCCTCGCGCGCGCGAGCTGCCCCGTCGCGAGCTCCCAGTACCAGCCCCGGATGTCCACGGGCATGGCCCGCAGCGCCTCCGCCGTGCGCACCTCCCAGGCCGTCGCGGGGACCGCGAGGCCCGCCGCGGGCACCGTCGAGTAGCGCATAGCTCCAGGTCCATGAGCTGGCCGTGGAACTGCCAGACGCGCGTCAGCGAATTCTTCCCCATGGAGCCGCAGCGCGCGTCGTAGTCCGCGTCGTCCCGCCCGTTGAAGGCGCCCGGCGCCGTCGCCGCGACGGCGCAGAGGACGCCGACGACGCCGACGCCGACGGCGGCGGCGGCCAAGGCCCGCGGGCGCGCCGGGGCGCCGCGCGCGTCGCCCGGCGGCGCAACGGCGCCGCCGCGCCCCGCCGGAGCGGGGCCCATCGCCGCGCGCCGCGGCGCACGCAGAGCGGTGCTGCCCGTGTCGGTGCTGCCCGTCGTGAATGTGGGAGAAAAAGAAGGTCCGTTCCTTTTCACCGTGAACTGAAGCCAGCTGCGCCCTCAACGTGCCCACCATCATCGACACTTGATTCGCTTACGACGTCGTCGGCGCGGCGTCGCCGCCCGGGCCCGCGAGCTCGACGTCGCCCGGCGTCTCGTTCCGCGCCGCCTCGCCCCGGAAGGCGAAGACAAAGCCGAGGACGAGGACGAGGGCCGCGTTGCCGAAGGCCAGACAGCGGAGGAGGTCCGCGAAGCCGAGGAGGCCGCAGAGGGGCTCGTCGTCGCGCGCGCAGGTGACGTCGATGGCCCGGACGACGTCCAGGGGCCCCAGCTCCAGGCTCACGGTCGTCTCGAGGCGCCGCCGCGACAGCGCGCCGCGCGGCGCGACCGCGGCCGCGAGTTCGACGACGCCGAGCGACACGCGCTTCCTGCCGCTCTTCGCCCCGAGGACGTTGCGGAAGTACTCCACGGACAGCGACTCTCCGCGCGCGCTGGACAGCGCCGCGCCGACGTCCTCGATGGCCGTGGAGGTTGGGGTGAGCACGATGCCCATCGCGCAGACCCGCAAACTGTCGAGCTTGCCCGCGAACAACGGAAACACGACGTAGCGCGGCTCGCCGACGGACGCGTAGTTGCTCTCCGTCTCCAACTTGTTCGTCAAGAGCCGCTCGAGCGCCGCGCCGTCGAGCAAACTCGCGATGTCCGCGCCGTAGACGGACTCGTCCGCGACGGGGCCCCGGGGGCCTGGGCGACAAGGGTGATTCAACGTCGCTTCAACGTGAGTGTTCCGCGCGCGCGCGTTTCGGAAAAAGCATCCACGCTTCGAGAGCGCTCCGAGAGATGATCGCTCGTCCAAAAATTAGCCGAAACGAGTGGAAACCGGCCGAGATATGAGCCTTTGAAGTTGGGAATTTCGCTCTCTTGTGCTGCCCTGCCGGGGGCCGTAGGTCCACGCGTAGGTGATCGGCAGGCGGACGTCGCTTCCCGCCCAGGCGTCGCCGTCGTCCCACGTCCAGGCCGCGCCGTCGACGCCCGTCCAGGCCCCGTCGTCGTCGCCCCGGGCAGACGCGTTCGCGTCGTACGCCGCGAGGCCGGCCGACAGGCCCCCGATGCGCGTGCGGCCCTCGAGGCGCCGCGCGGCTGGCGGCGCGAGCACGTAGCCATCCCCATAAGTCGTCTGGGTCGCCGCGGCCGCCGGGTCGACGACGAGCTCGAGGTCGCGGATGGCCGCGCCCCACGACTCCTCCCAGCGGCCCGCGTCGCCCACCAGCGGCGCGATGCCGAGCGTCGTCGCGCCGTTGAGCGGCGGCAGGTCCGCGGCGGTCTGGAGGCCGAAGTTGAAGAGGTAGCCGTGGTGCTCCAGGGGCAGCGCCTCGACGAACGCGCGGCGGCCCGCGGACGCGTTGGCTCGCGGGAACCAGTAGTCGTCGAGGTCGTCGACGGCGAAGTGCTCGACGCCGTCGACGACGGTCTGGAGCCAGTTCCGAGGCGGGAACTCGCGCGTCACGTGCGTCGACATGATGTTCTCCGCGAGGTCCCGGCACCGGTCCTCGTAGAGGGCCGCGTCCTGGCGCCGCAGGGCCGCCGGCAGCGCCGCGCCCGCGTGGAACAGGGCCCCGGCCACGGCGACGACGACGGCGGCGCAGGCCGCGCCGAAGAGCTGGGGCCGCTCGGCGCGCATCATCGGCGGCGGGGGCGGGGGGTGGGGCGTGCTCGGCTGCCCGATCAGAGCGGCACCATCCTGGACCTTGCAGCGGTTTGTTTTAGTTGAATTTTCGCTAGTGACACGATCAGCATGGCGCGGGGATCAGCGGGCGCTGCGCAGCTTTACTGGCCGGTTGCGATCCTCGCGCTGGCCGCCGGCCGCGCGTCGGCGAGCACGACCGTCTCTGAGATGACGAACACATATTCCCTCAACAGCAGCGAGTGCTACGCCCCCAC